ATGCCACCCTTGGCAGAGACTCGGGCTGAGAGTGGAGGGCATCAGAACACAAAGTGGCCCAGGGCTGGGCTTCCGGGGGGGGGGGGGGAATCAACCGCTAGTAAATATCCTCTGCCAACAGGCCTTGCTAGTCACTGTATGGTCCCCAACCAGCAGCCTCAGCAGGGCCAGGTAGCTTGCTAGGAATGCAGAATCTTGGGTCCCACCCCAGAATTCGGAATTAACATCTGCATTTTAGTTAGATCCCCAGATGATTCACATACACAGTAAATATGAGCGAGAATGGCATGGAATAGGATTTGGGTCAGTACAAGTAAGTACTTCAAACTCTTGTGTTTGTTAGGTATTTTTAGTATGCTTCAGAAAACATAACTAAGCCAGTTTACTCGTGAGTTCCACGGATATTATTTCTCCAGATAATTCTAAGAAAGGTGACGCGCCTTCTTCCTTCTTCCCTAAAGGGAAGATGCACCCCTCCCCCACGCCAAACACAAACCAAAAAGAGAAAATTATGAGAGAGAGAGAGAGAGAGAGAGAGAGAGAGAGAGAGAGAGAGAACACGACATAAACTAAAACTGTATCGAAAAAGACAGGAATGTGGAATGACATTTCACATAAATAGTTATCAAAAAACAAAACAAAACAAAAAAACTGGCACGGCAGAACTAATAGCAGACAAAATAGAATTTCAGGTAAAGAAAATTTCTGGGAATGAAAAGTGACATAATATACACGTGGAGCCGAATCTTCTTCCTGAATCTATCCTTTTCCATTGCCAGCAGCAAAGCAGGAGTATTATTCCCAAGACGCATTCCACTCTAGGCCAGTATCAACATCTTGTTTATATTTGCCGATTCGATAAGCAAAAGAAAAGGGAATCTTTCTGTAGTTCAATTTCAAAGTCCGGGTTCGCCCCAGCACAGCGGGGATCACACAACAGAGCTGACTTCTCACGATCCCTGGGGAGCCGGAGGGGTAGGGGGTGGAGGGCCGGGAAGCAGGCCCCGCCCCCTCCAGTGAGGGTACCTGCGGCCACTCAGCCCAAGACAGCGGCCCCACCCACCAGGGGAGGACCCGCGCCCGCACCCGCACTGAGCAGGCATCGGTCCCTCCGACCCGCAGCCCAAGGCCCCATGCTCCACTTCTGCTCTGTATTAATTCTCAGCAGCTTATTTAATTTATCTACAGTACAGTGTTTTCTTTCTACACAATCGCCAGCAAAGCTGTTCAGCGCCCCAGGGCAGCAGACAGAAACAGTTCTCTACCACCACGTCTGAAGAACCAATTGCCCTTCAGTGTCACCCAGAGCTTTCATTAAAAACTCTTGAGTGGAATTAGGTGCAGTTAGCAACTTCCAGGGAAATCTGACATATTTTCCCTGAAAACAAAGAAAGAAAACAGAAATGTTTTCTATAGAGTTTTGTAAAAACTTACTGAAGTTGTTTTTAAAAATCCTTTGAATTTAAATCATCATTTTTCAATCATACTGTCTTCTCTGATGTACTTCTCAAAAACAATCCATCCAAGGGGGCGCCTGGGTGGCGCAGTCGGTTAAGTGTCCGACTTCAGCCAGGTCACCATCTCGCGGTCCGTGAGTTCGAGCCCCGCGTCGGGCTCTGGGCTGATGGCTCAGAGCCTGGAGCCTGTTTCCGATTCTGTGTCTCCCTCTCTCTCTCTGTCCCTCCCCCGTTCATGCTCTGTCTCTCTCTGTCCCAAAAATAAATAAAAACGTTGAAAAAAAATTAAAAAAAAACAAAACAAAACAAAACAAAAACAATCCATCCAGGTAGTGTCATTGCGATTACACTCGCAATCAAAATGAGCACCAGACCATCGCCAAAAATCACCACCGCGAGAACCGGCGCCTCAAATGTAAATTACTGAGCTTCCAGAGTCAAAGTCTAAGGCAGTCCTGTTATTCATATTATCATCAGCATGGCTAAGACTGAAAGTAGTAACTTCTCTTTCATCAGCCTGGATCATTTAGGATGCTCTGTGTCATAGAGACTTTAGGGAAAAAGCACACAGTACGATTAATATGAGCAGAAATTTCAGATTCGATATTTCTAGTCCCATCCTGGAAAAATTCTTATGCATAGTTACAGCAACGAGTACATCAGCAAGGAGAAAACAGTTCATCGTTAATAATACTGGATCCAGGTGCTGTTATGGCTTATGGTTCACATGGTTTTGCTGCTGCTGCTGCTCTCACCTGATGCTTCAAAAGGGCTTTGATTTATAGTTTGAAATTAAAATTACCAAAGGGTTTTTAAAGCAGTGCAAAAGCCACATGCATCTTTCTGTCACCATGTCAGGGGATTGCCTTTCCTTTTTGCCTGAGGGGCTGGAGTCTAGGTATGGATAAAGAGAAGAGGAAAAATCACAGCTTAACACGGAGAACATCGCCAAACTATGTAAAATAGTTTAGCATCGTGAAGTGAAAACAAAACAACCCAAAACCCTCTGGTTTCTAAAATCACTTGCAGAAAAAAATGAGTGAAGAAGGCAAGGCTCATGCACATATTTTAGTGTGTGTGTGTGTGTGTGTGTGTGTGTGTGTGTGTGTGTTTTCTATTTGCTTTCCTGCCAGAGCCACATCCTATTGACCAGTGTCTGTACACATGCAGAAAAATGAAAACAGACTTTGCTTGCTGCAGGCCAGAAATGCAGTTTCCTTTTATCTGACACCGCATAGCTTTTAGAGGCATGTTTCTAATGGAAGCAATCAGTCACCAGTGGGTTTCATTTTTCTTGCTTTGTTTTAAAGCATTCAAATACACACACACACACACACACACACACACACACACACACACACACCTATGAAAGTGTATCAGTATCTTTTCAATTCCTCAATAAGGAATTTTTAAAGCAGCAAATATATACCTGGCAATTCTGAGCCAGATCACTTTTATGGGGTTTTTTTTCCCAATTTTTTTATTGTGGTAAAATACACAAAACATAACATAAAACTTACCATCTTAACCATTTTTAGTTTTAAAATGTTTTAAATAGTGGTGGCTGGGTGGCTCAGCCAGTTGAGAATCCGACTTCGGCTCAGGTCATGATCTCGCAGTGCATGAGTTTGAGCCCTGCGTCTGGCTCTGTGCTGACAGCTCAGAGCCTGGAGCCTGCTTCCGATTCTGTGTCTCCCTCTCTCCCCACCCCTCCCCAGCTCAGACTCTGTCTCTCTTGCTCTCTCAAAAATAAAAAAAATCAAAAATTTTTTAATGTTTTTAAATAAGTACTTATCAGAATATTTTTAATTTAATAACGCTTTAATGTTAATTTTTTAAAAAAATAAGTAGCCTTAGGAATATAAAAAATCCTTTGGAACATTTATCCTTTTTAGGTACCACTATATATATTTCCGCTGTCTTAGGAGCAGTGTAAAAGACTGTATGCTTCATCAGCAGCATAAAGGTTTGCCCACTGCAGCTCCTAGGCAGTTAAACAAACACAATGCGGGTGCATACCTGGGTATCTGAAAACACACTTTTCGTAGGAAACGTGGCTTAGATAAATTATATCCACATGTCATTTTTCAAAGCCCTATTTTATCCTCACATTTACCAAATCGTTTGCTACTATATTAGTGAAAAAAGCAGTCTCTATTCAGTCTTTAAAGAGTGAGGGTAGACAGGGCCAAGGTGTACAGAACATCATGGTAGAGCAACAAGAGTCCCAAATGAGCACAAAGAAGCTGTAGTTAGCTCTTTGAATATCTGAGAGCTGACACATTAGAGATTCAAGCCTGTAATTTTCAGCTGCCAAAAAACAGTTCTTTGAAGGTAACAGGTAGCAAAAAGAAAATGAAGTGCTGAACAATGCTCTCACATCAGTTTCTGTTTAGAGATTTTTACCCCCCCCCATCCTATATATGTTTCATTTAGGCTCCTAATTATTAAATGCTAGTGACCGTCCATGGCAGAGCAAAATACAAATCAACAGTTAATCACATGTCAAAAGAGCAGCAAATTCTTTGAAATCGTTCTTGAAGAAGCTCCAGCTGTCCAATTAAAGGGAAGTTGTGTGTGTGTGTGTGTGTGTGTGTGTGTGTGTGTGTGTGTTTTAAGAAGGAGGAGGAGGAAGTGGAGCAAGAGGGAGCGGAGAAGAAAAAGAACAACGCAGAGGAAAAGCCCTTTTGTTAAAGATCAAGGAGCCAACTCAAGTTTAAAATTAAGTTCCATGCACATTGGTTTTCAGAGGCACCCATTTTGGCATGTTCCAAATCACATGCCATCTCTGGCTGAGAACATGAAGGCAAAGTAGGCCGAGCCCAGGCAGGTTAGCAAACAAACGCAAGCCAAGCACACTCAGGAGACTTATCTAGTATTTGCCTACAGAATGCAATTGGCTCAGGTCTACACTAAAAAATTGCTTTCCAGGGACACAGTTCAAAGATTGAGTTTCCTCTTGCTATCCATTCACAATAAAATACTTGTAGGGATTTGACATACTTTTGACACAATTATATCAGTTGCAACACACATAATGTCCATTCAATTTTACAAAGTTCATTTTAATCAAAGGTATACATTTTTTTCTGGTCTTTAAGAGCCTAGAAACCCAAAATAGTTGTTAAAACAGTGAGAAACATGATACATGAGCAATCTCTTATCAAACAAAAACCTGGCTCTGATTACTTTTTGTATTTGAGGCCGACATAAGTAATTTGCTCTGTCTGAACACTTTAAATCAATTGCCAAATGAAAATGGGACTCTTGAACCTACGCCAGAAGTAGGTTTCTCAGCTCCTTGCCCAGTCTTGGCCAAAACCCTAGCACTACTCAACAGCGACTACAATCTACAAATCAACTTAAGATCTCTGTCCTTGCCAAAACTTCATGTCTGCAGAGCTGATGCTATAAATAATGGTGGGTGAACATCAGTAAAACTGAAACTAGATCCTCAACTATCCAATTCTTGGTTTGCATTTTTTAAAGTTTACGAGTTTGTTCACTTTACTTAATTACAAGATCAAATGAAAAAAATCTCACCTTGTGATGCCCAAATTCATTCAAAATGGTTCCCAGTTTCCTGGTGTTGCTGTGCAGTTTGGGGGCAGCAACAGCTGGATGGGGGTCCCGCCAGTCAATGGACAAGCGGTGATACCAAAGGCGCGGACTCTCCAGAATATGAGCTGATTTAACACTAGGATCAAAACGATGTACTTCACATCCATTGTTGGCCATGCTAACCTCAAATTGGGTATCATCATTCCCCAGCCTATAAAGAAAGAGCGTGGAAATCAATAACAACACAAATATAATGAAGCAAAAGTGCTAGATTGATAAAATGACAATTCTAAGGAAATTTTCTTATTCATATCAAGCTTTCTCCTGTTTTAGCACATGGCTAACTGTACACATTCAATAAATCTGCTTCCATCACAAAAAGCATTATAGCTAAAAGCTTCTGGATAAAAAGCAAGCAGAGAAATTATCTGCTAAATGCAGACCAGAGAATCACATGTTCAAACATGTAGAGACATAGCAAATTAATTTTTTTAAGATGTAAACCATAGTAGCAATGAAACAAGTCTATCCAGTAATCTTAAGAGCTTTTCTCAGAATACATCAAAAATAGAAGCGCCAGGATCGGTTCCCTTAGGGAGAGGTGCAGTGTACTAATGAGGTAATTTGTCTCCATTCTAATGGCCATGATGCATGCAGCCTGACTTAAAGACAATATCCGTTGTCTTAGAAGTGGAAATGCATTTTAAAATAGTACAGCTAAAGAAGAGGCAAATATGTGTGGTTCTACTGGATCTAGTACCCAAGAAGTAGAAGAGACACCTCACCTAAATTCACATCAACAGGAGGAAGAAATTATGAATTGTACTTAAGTATCCACTTTGTAGCACGTCATGTGAAACATTCATATACTTACACATTTTTAATTTACTCAGACATATTCCTTATTTGGTGGAGTAATATTCATCACTTTGATTAAAGCATCAGCTTGGATGAAAAACATGAGATTAAATGAAAGACGATTTTTTTTTTAATGGTGCTTATGGCTTCTTTGCTCAAAATACTATAATTAGATATGGTTTAAGATACCAAAATCTCAAAGGGTATCTATAAGACATTGGCCAAACCTGAACCCAGGGCAGAAATGCTTCATTCTCTTAGACTCCAGTATCGCAGACATTTCATACTTTGGACATGTACAAGCTCATTGGCTAACAATTATTTACCTGGTATTAGGCAATGAAAATAAGCCTTCAGTACAGAGATCCTCCCTCCACCTAGACATTCTTACTACTCTTATTTGCCTTGTTCTTTCCCTTCACTCCTACTACATTGCTTTTGCCCTCACTGGACGCATGGCATGTCAACCCTCTGCTATCCCTCAGCTACAATTCTGTCTCCCTTGTGGCTAGAAGATGTAGCACCCTTCAAAACTATATCACTCCTTTTACCTGAGAAATTCTGTTCCCTACTTTTTACCTCCTACTGAACCTACTCAACTCAGACGGCAGACTGACTGACTGACTGGCTCTAATTCTGTCCCCCTTCATCCACACTACTGCCATGCTGTGCTCATCATGAGCAGAGCATCCTTTCTTGCTCCGATTGTCTGTCTTGATTAGGTGATTTACTTTGTGGAAGGAAGTGACAGTATGCCAGTCCCAAGCCGAGGCTTTAAGTACTTCTGTCCACTCTCGTGGACATCCTCATACCATCCTCATGATGAAAACATACCCTAGATAACTTGCCAGGCTCAGGAAAATAAGAAACATGAGGGGCAGTGATACCCCAGCCAAGTTGCCAAATTTCTATGAAAAGGAGAACTTCCCTTAGCCACCACACCTTGCAATAAAGTCTCCCAGCTGAGCCCAGCCTCCGTCAATGGAAGCCCGCTGATTTGTAGACATACAAGCAAGAATAAATAATGGTTTTAAGCTACTGAATTTTAGAGTGATTTGTCACACAGCAACAGCTAACATATAAACCTGCCATGAAATATAAATCCAAGAGTTGAGCAAAAACTACAAAGCATTTTTTTAGTAGACAGATTTCCTTCTGTATCTGTCAGAATGTTGCCACATTCACCTGCCCCAAGAGATTTTTCACTTAACTGAATATGTTGAAACTGAGATGAGGAAACCAGTGTTACTATGGGTCATCCGATGGAAAATGGCAATACTGTAGCTTTCCTAGGAGAACACTATGTCAACAAAGTACTCACTAAATACAATTTATATGTAAGCTTTCAAGAGTAGAGAAATTTGAATAATTTCTAAGTGAATTTTCAAAATATTAGTTTCAAGGAAACATTCTCTACTCTAAAACATGTATTTTAATTAAGACTTCAAAAACTTTTAGGGATTAAATTAACCACATACGGTTCTGTAACTAACTTTTTTAGTAAGGCACTTTATTACATATTGATGTTTTCAATTTAAACAAGAAATTTTGTAATGAAAAAATAACAAAGACACATAGGAAGAGTTCAAGGAAATAGATAAAATAAAAAGGAAGTTTTCTGCCCCTAGAAATTTTGGCCACTAATTTCCAGAGATAATCACAGTTAGTAATCTTTGTGTATCTTTCCAGAAATTCTCTAGATATGTACAAGTGTTCTTTATTACAGATATCATAAGTACACACATACATATTTAAGTTAATCATCAAATAGTGAAGAACTATTTTGTAGGCACTAAACAAAATGTAACTACTGAAATTTGTAATTTGGGGGTCAACTTGTATTACTTTTAGTAAATAAAATACACTTAATACACAAGTGTACTATACTGGAAAGTAATAAGCTGCATTAATTTAATCAATGTCTATAATTCTTACTTCCATTTATTCAAAATGGTACTTCCTCAAGCTTAGTTTAAATTAGCCAAGTTTGTGGTAGGTGTAAAAAGCGACAGGAAAGGCAAATGTAATATACATAGGTGTGGCGCCACCTGGCCCAAAGTAGGAAAACCAGGAGTCAAATCCAATCCAGGTAAATGTGCTCCTTATACTGCACCTCACTGTGAATGAGCACAGGACACAGAACCCTGGAAGGAATATTTGTGATCTCGGGGATCTACGAAATCGCCAGTTCCTGGAGGGTAAAGCTCCATAAGGAAGAGAACTGTGTCACTCTTGCTTTTATTTTTTTCGTTTCAAGTTTTTATTTCAATTCCAATTGGTTAACATACAGCATAACATTTTTGCTTCTCTCTGAATCCCAAGTGCTGAGTAAAGAGACAGCAAATCTATAAAATGCTGCCCCAAGTGAGAGAAAACTAGAAAATTATAGGGTCTGGAATTCCTAGAATACATAGTACACAGTAACTAGCATGGCATGGGGTAGGCTATGTTTCGCTGTCTTCTTCATGTATATAAACAAATACTGATAAAGCACTTTAATATGTTTAAGGCACTATACTAGACACCAGAGACAAATTAGTCATAACCCTTGATCTGAAGTTCACAAGTAGTAATGAAGAGAGATTTCTGAACAAATAAATATAGTAAAATTATGAAGTAACCAAAACAAAAATATTACTTACAGCAAAAATGTATTTAGTCTGTAAGGAAATCATTTGCTGCTCTTATTTATCTAGAAAGAGAATTCACTGTAGAAAATCCTACTTTACAGGAATGTTCTACTTAATGTGTATTCCATGAAGCAAGACATGTAGATCAGAGGCTTCTATCTCATGATCTAAGACAGTTGTTCCATTCCCTGCCACCACGTCTGCCTTCAAGCCATCAGGAGAAGTAAAAGGGGAATGAAGGTCATGTCTTTTCCTCTTAGGGTATGGCTGAGAAGTTGCACACATCACATGTGCTCATATCTCATTGCTCAAAGCTAGTCATACGGCCACTTGCAGCTTCAAGGAAGGCTAGGGTATGCAGTCTTCAGCAAGGTGGCCAGGTGCCCTGCTAAACTCAGGAGTTCTGTTACCAAAGGAAAAAGGAAAGAATGGATATCGGAGGACAACTGGAAATTCCTGCTACAACCCATTTCTGAAATAGGTAAGCAGTTAATAGGTGTATTCAAATGTATGAGCATTCATGAAGACTATAACCTATCTCTACACGGGGGAGAGAGAAAATTATATAACTAATGCTTATGAGTATTATTCTGCACATGTTAAGCCTAGGGTTTGAGATGGAGACAAGCTCTTCAGCACAGAAAGGGCATCAAATCTGAGAGATTTGTTGAAGAAATAGGAACGGGGAGAATTATAGGACTAAATTTCCACAGGTCACAGAATAACAGTAACCATCTTGACCCCCCTCTTCTGATGCTCAGAGAGCAACAATCAAGATTCCTCAGTGTGGTTGTGTGAGTTGTGCACCCAACAATTCTAGATGGTACCATTCACATCATAGTCACCATAATGATGATTTTCTAGCAGGTGGGGTAGGGGTTCTTGAGGGGGTGCCTCTTCCCAAGTCATATAAAGGTGTCCTTTGGACCAGCTACAGTGCTAGCAACTGCATGCCCTTTAATGCTACTGAAGGGTAGAAGGCATGGATGTGGTACTGTTTCAGGTCTTGGTTATTCTTTTAAAAATATTCCCAAGAGTATTAAGGTAAGCGTCCTTTATGTTCCCCAGGAATCAAAACGTCCTAGCGCAAACACATGAAGACATGCTCATGACCATTCACCAACATGGAGAAACAAATCAAAATCACAATGAGACACCTCTTCACATCCACTAGGGTAGCTACAATCAAAAAGACCAATAATTACAAATGTCGGCAACAATGTGGAGAAATGAGAACCCTCATACATTGCTGGTGGGAATATGAAGTGGCATATTCCCAAGAGAAGCGAAAACTAATGTCTACCGAAAAACCTGCATGTGCATGTTCGTTGCACGATTATTCCCAGTAGCCAAAAAGTGGAAACAACCTAAATGTCTATCAACGGATGAGCAAATAAAATGAGGTGTAGCCATACAACGGAATATTATTCAGCCATAAAAAGATATGAGGTACTGATACCTATTACAACATGGATGAACCTTGAAACCATTATGCTAAGTGAAAAAAAGCCAGTTACAAAAGGCCACATGTTGTGTGCTTCCATTTACATGAAATGTCCACAATAGGCAAATTCATAGAGAGAAAGTGGACTAGTAGTTGCCTACGAGGAGGGGGTGAAAAGCAGGAAATGCTTCAGCTGAATTTGCAAACGACTGCTACTGGGTGTAGGACTTCCTCTCTGGGGTCATGAAAATGTTCTAAATTTGACTGTAGCGACAAAAAAAAAAACCCACTGAATTGTATGCCTTACAAGAGTGAATTGTATGGTATGTGAATTATAGCTCAACAAAGCTGCTAAAAATAAATAAAAGCAGATACAGGAAAGGTTTCTAACTGTGACCGTTGAAGGCATCAGGGTTGGAAGAAGTAAGACAATCGTGTTTCCCAGGAGTTTCATGGTCTGTTCTGGGTTTTTCAAAGCATAAATGACACTAAATAGTAGATTAAAAATATGTTATAAATTATTAATTTTTATTAAATAACATTGCGTGAAATGCCAAGATTTTGTCCAAAACATATATTATCAACAGGAATGATAGCACCCCTAATGGGGCAAAATTCCATTCTTGGGAGTCAACAATACCTCCTCTTTTTATATATAAAGCAACATGCAGGGGCGCCTGGGTGGCGCAGTTAGTTAAGCGTCCGACTTCAGCCAGGTCACGATCTCGTGGTCCGTGAGTTCGAGCCCTGCGTCAGGCTCTGGGCTGATGGCTCAGAGCCTGGAGCCTGTTTCCGATTCTGTGTCTCCCTCTCTCTCTGCCCCTCCCCCGTTCATGCTCTGTCTTTCTCTGTCCCAAAAATAAATAAACGTTGAAAAAAAAATTTAAAAAAAAAAAGCAACATGCATATGTTACATAAAAAGATATACAGTTTATCTCTGGCATTAAAATTTCATGGGGAGTGGTGATTAGGAAAAAAAAATTATTTAAAAAGGATCCTTGGGTCCATGATTTTCTGATTCCTCATTCATGTATACTATGAGCACCTGCTGTGTTAAACTATTACAAGTTGAAAATGTTTGGCACCTGGAAGTCCCAGCTTTTCTGTGTAAGATACTAGTTGTTGCCTAACCATGTGTCATTTATCAAATGTTCTTCTGTCTTATGCTGAGAATTTATGTCTTGAAACCAAACGGTACCACCAGCCAGAGAACTAAAAAAAAGAGGTGAAGAAGATTTGCTACCTATGTATTGTCTCTTCTCAAGTTTTCTTTTCCACTCTCACTCCCACCTCTGAAAAAACAATCTTTGAAAGGGAGGATAAAATCGGGGATATTTCCCGATTCGTGTTAGCTACCACCCTCCCCAACCCTCCCCCTCCAAGTCACAGAGGAGAAGACTTACAGAGCAGCCACCACCGCAGGCTGAAGAGGTCAAGTACATGATATTATCACCTAAACACACAACCTCTCCTTCCTCTTCTCTTCCCCTTCCTCTGTAACATAACCTTCCTGTACAGCACCTTCCCCTATCTTAATTGGTCTATTCTACCCCATTTCAAGGTTGAAAAGGATCTGATTTTAATTTTCAACTGAACTTCACACAGAGTACACTCTCCTGGAAAAAATGCTTTTACATTAACTGTGGAATAAAGAGCTTTGACTTCTAGTAAAGACATTCCAGACTCTGAAATAAGGTGGAAGTGACTCCTGCTTCAGTTCCTGGGGTGGAGGAAAGGTAGGGAACAGATCAGAAGGCAGGACATTCAGCCTTTGTCTTCTGGTCCGTCTGTCCTCCGACTCCTTTCTTCCTCTCTAGGAAAGACACCCCAAGCTATGGCTTTATCAATCATCTTTGGTTGACCTGGGAATGACTGGGCACAGAAGTGGCATAGTCTTGCTGCTGCCAAAGCCCTGGGGCTTCGAGCACTTACTGCCTGGTGTAGGGACCCCATAACCCATCTGCCACCTGCCCTCCCTACCCATCTCTCAACTATCCCACTACTCCCGAACGCTGACCATCCATGACCCACATTCCCTGTTCCTGTGCCTCATTTTAGGACCGCCACTTCTGGGCTGGGTCTCTTTCTTCTCTCAGTATCAATTGAGATGTCAGCTGGCTATTTACCTGCCCCCAGGCAAGCAATTCACCTGAGAAGGGGGTATGCTTGTCCTGATCCTCAGTCCTGAATAACAGTGCAATCAATGTGTGCAACCACAATCCAAAACATCTTTTCTTTTCTTTTTTTTTTTTTACCCATCAGAAATATTTTTAGTTCCCCATTTTCAATTAAGCATTTCTAGGTTTTGAATCAAATGTTGGCCCTTATAATCTATTCACGTCTGTTCCCAGTGGAATTCAATTGTTCTTATCTGCTCTTCACAACGTTGAGTTTGAATAGTGAACATTTAGATGAAAATAAGAAACCACCTTTTTACAGGAAGTAATCTGAAATCTTGCAACAAAATTATCTAATGGCCCTGAAGTACAAGGAAAGCAAAAAGGAATTTTAAAAATCCCCCTCCCCCCAAACAGCTTTCCTAGTTTCATTTTACTCAGTGATAGGCTTTAAATGAAATTATTCCAGGGTGTAAAATAATAAGTAAACTATAAAGGCAGTTCAGAGCAAGAAAACAGGACCAAGCTGAGATCTCCAATTTGCATGTGGTACTCTGCAATTACTTTTATGACCTACTTTCATGCATTTTTAATATGACAGAAAATAAACTCTACTGTCAAAACTTCCCATCCTTTCTACAATCTTGAAGCATAGTTGGTGGGCTTCCCCTCTGTTCTAATCAAGTGGCTGAGCAACTAATTTCCTAAGCCTCAGCCTCCCGGTCTAAATCACAGCATAACCAGCGACTCTCTCTGCTCTCCTTACCTAGAGCAATCATTTATGTAGCAAATATACATGGAGTGCCTACTGTGTCCCAAGCTCTGCTTATACAATTTCCATTATCCTGAGACTCTTACTTGAACCGTTCATTTTTATAAAAAGTCCACAGTGACTACAACTAAGAATTCTTGTTTGATAAAGTCTGATGTTGATGGTGATCCTCTGGGCACAGACCCAAACGTCTGCCCCCAACCCTTATCAACTAGGATTTGGGTTAGCAGTTGTCACTCATGTGCCTGAATGTGAATCGTCGAGATGATGAAAGCGATTAGTGAGAAACAGGCATAGGACACCTGTTAGGGTCCCCGGTGCTTTTGTAATGGACCTTGGGGGCCTTGTCGGAGAACCTAATCACACAGCTTCCACAAAGAGTCTACGGAATAGGGTGTTCCCAATAAAAACAACTTTCCTGCCCCCCCTTTTTTTTGAGACACATTTTTGTAAGTTCAGAACTGGATGCAAGTCCTAATATATTTCATGAAATAGTCTGATTATTTTATACTTGCCCTTTTACAAAAATGCCTCTAAATCCATTTGTACACTTAGCTCATTTTCAGCCTGAATAACTGAATATTATTTCCTACAGTTTCGACAAAATCACAGTGATTTCACAAGAATTCCCTTTTCTTTCTTTTTAATGTAAATGTACACACAGATTTACCATTGGCACAAACCATAAAAATCCAACAGTGGCCATTCATCTTGGGTCACTCCTCATAAATGTGTAAAAAATTTCTAATATGCTTGCTGTTCTCCCCCCCCCCCCCCCGCCCCGCCCCTTAATTCTTACTATTCTCTCTTTTCACAGTAAGGATGCTGTAATTCTAGCTGGCGACCACGGGCTTTGCCAAGAGGATCATCGTCATACTGAAATCTGAAGTTGCCAATTCACCCCCAGCAGAATGGGAGAGAAAATGGCCTGGCGGCTTCTGGTGACCCACAAGTGCCCACAGTTACCTAACCGACACATGAGTCTGAAACAAAGTGTAGGAGGCAAAGTATAGCACCTGTTACACATTGTTACGTTCATAACTTTGTGTTACTGAAATAGCCTTGGCCACCTGCAGGAGCATTTTGGTATTCTGCTATAAAATGCACTTACCCTAAAGAGTAGAGGCGGCATCGCTTGCTGCGGATTTGATGAGCTAAGCCAAACCTGTCATCAAGACAGACTGACCAAGGCTTCTTTGCAGGGCTGGAGTCAGTAGCTAGGCTGTCTGTGCTCATGTGATTGCATGCAATCTGTAAGGATTGGAAATCAATGTGAATCATTTAAAGCGCTGGATGATAAGTGGCAGGTGGGGGGTTACTGCTTTCTCAGTCCCTGAAAGCCATAACAGGAGAGTTATGTCCTTCTCCACTGCCAACTACTCCTCTCCCCCAGGGAAGCACAAGACTGCTATCAAATGTTCAGAGGAACTCCAAATACTGGATTATAAGGAACCTTGTGGAGACTATAGACAGGTTTGAAGGGAAGTTGAGAGCTGCTATAGCCATATGCACAGAGTATGTAAGGGAGAACAGGTCAGGAGCAAAGGTGGCAGAAAGGAGGGGTCCCAAAAAGCTTTGCAGAGATTTGTGAGTCCTGGAGAATGAACAGAAGTTGACCAAGACGCTGAGATCAAGAAGAGCATTCCAGAGGTAGAGAACAGTGCTGGCAAAACACAGAGGACTGTAATCCATGGTGTCTCTACCAGAAGTTGTGAGATCCAACTGTGGCCATGGGTCTCAGAGGGATACAGATTATCAATTCCTTATCTCAGGCATATAAGCTGGGGCCACCTCGGTCCAGAAAGGTAGCATGAGTTATCCAAGGTAAACAGCTGATCAAGGGTCAAGTGAAATTAATTCATAGTCCCTGCTCCCAAGACCGTATTGTTTGTGAGAAACTGTTCTAATGAGCTTCCTCCTAGGGGAGAAGAGCGAGAGCCCCACGCAGGAAGAAAGGAAGCTCTTCCTGAGCTATAACCAAAGCACTTCTTTTAACTCATCCATCAAAATTTGGTGAGGAAACCAAAGGGAACATGTATCTAAATCAAGCAGAAGCAAGTCTCTGATTTCAAATGCACATTTAGCAAATGCACTGTGATTGAGGCTGGCACAGTGTGCACGCTGAGGTGGCTGGAACCAAGGAAAGCAGGTTCTGTGGCCCAGGTGTTCTTTTGCGGCCAGCAGCACCTCACTGAACATCAATTTCCCCCTAATCCTTCAAAACTCCCATCACCATCATGATGCTCCATGAATCATGCAGCATCTCTGGCTGTCACATCACAGACAACAGACCATTCTGGGTGCAAAGGGTGGTCTGAGGTTCATTGCTTTAATTCATTGGAAAATATAACAGCAAATGATTTTCTTCTTAAGAAGATATTCTGGGGGCGCCTGGGTGGCTCGGTCGGTTGAGCGGCTGACTTCGGCTCAGGTCATGATCTCACGGTCCATGAGTTCGAGCCCCGCCTCAGGCTCTGTGCTGACTGCTCAGAGCCTGGAGCCTGTTTCAGATTCTGTGTCTCCCTCTCTCTCTGCTCCTCCCCCGTTCATGCTCTGTCTCTCTCTGTCTCAAAAATAAAATAAACGTTAAAAAAAAATTAAAAAAAAAAGAGAAGATATTCTGGGGGCACCTGGGTGGCTCAGTTAAGCGGCCGACTCTGGCTCAGGACATGATCTCGCAATTCAAGAGTTTGAGCCCCGCATCAGGCTCTGTGTGGAGCCTGCTTCCGATTCTGTGTCTCCCTCTGCCCCTCCCCCCACTTACACTGTCTCTCTCAAAAATAAATAAACATTAAAAAAAGTGTTTTTTTAATAAAAATGTTTTAAAACATATTCTGGGTTTGCCCAATTCTTTTATTTAACAGAGTTTCCAGAATTCTAATCTGAAAAGAGTATATACATGTAGCCTATTCAACTGATACAGCATCTCCCGTACTTTTGCTGTGATCAAGGGCTACTGGGCTGGCAAAATTATCCAGCACTATTTATCAGAGAGATAAACGAGAGAGCATATTGCTAGGATTTGGACATTTTAGAGGGAAGTCTAAAATGTGAAACCCTGTATATATATTCTTGCCCCTCACCAATGTCTTTCTACTTCTCTACCCATGACCCCTGTTTAAAGGAAAAAAATAACAGAAAATGGAACTGAATTTTAAGCAACTATTACAGAATACATTTATTAACTGGGTACATCAGCATGTTAATTTGTATAATTCATTTCCTATGATTCACCCACAAAGACATGGGAATTATGCCTCTGCCCATATCCTAGTCCCCACTCACCCATCAAGGGAGGGAAAACGGCTAATTTAATTAAAGTTCAATGTGTTTGGTGGGCCTGTCTTACTAGTGGGCAGGTTACTGCACCTTAAACATCAGCACCTCCATTGTCATTGTGTCCGACACTCTCCCTTCCTCTCACCCCTGCAGGTAGGCAGGTAAGTAGGGAGGGAGGGAGGGAGGCAGTTCTGTAGGCCCCTAAAGCATACCTGGACCTCATAAGCCTGAACCATTTGCTCTAGGTCAGCTTCCTGGAGTATTTTTATTAAAGTGGTCTGATGATTCCCATTTCTTTGTGTGCACTTCTCCCTAAGAACCTCCATAATGACAGAACATGATATAGATGTTCACAGGTTCTTGTTCATGACTCCCTCCTAACACCATTAAAATTTAACTCTCGCCTCTCCCACCATGTTCCCAGGGTATGGCCCACCTACATTCTGACAGGCCTGGGAGGCACCTAAAAATACAGATTCTCAAGTCCCACTCTGTAAAGTCAGAATCTTTGAGGCTGATGCCTGCGAACATGCCTTTTAATAAGCTGCCCCAGGTGATTCTTATGCGGATAGTCCTGTGGGTTTACAGGAACCCTTTTGTAAAGCCCCACTGGAAGGTTCCAGCTTGGCCTCATCTGTGCCTTAGCAAATTAAGGGAAGAGGCTCCACTTGGGTCAGAGCTTTATTTATTTATTTTTTTAATATGAAATTTATTGTCAAACTGGTTTCCATACAACACCCAGTGCTCATCCCAAAAGGTGCCCTCCTCAATACCCATCACCCACCCCCCCTCCCTCCCACCCCCCATCAGCCCTCAGTTTGTTCTCAGTTTTTAAGAGTCTCTTATGCTTGGGCCAGAGCTTTAAAATGAAAACAGCAGCCCCTGCAACCCGACCCCTAACAAAAAGCCACAGAGGCAGGCAGTGACAATTAGCCAGAGGCCTCCAAGAATCCGATAACTATTAAGGGTCAAGATTCAGGGCTTTGAAGCTCAACTGCCCTTACTTTGCCAATGTTGGGGAGTAGAGTTTTATTCTATTAAAGGTGACCCTTAAAGCATTTCTTCTTCTTCCAAAGATTTCATCTTACACAGATATACCCCTGTTGGAAAGACATTCTTTTCCATTCAATCTCTCTGCTAATGTTCCCCTTTCCACTCCTAGCTCAAACATACCTAACACAGGAGTTTTTCCATATTAACTATCTCAGTGATAGACATTAGCTTTGCAAAACAACTAGAAGCACTCAGTAAAATTCAGCTCCTAAAAATTAATTAAATATTGATTTTTCAAAGTTTCTTGTTAAGATTTATGGCCAGGGCTTCAATAAACTCTCGTAAGCAAAATAAGTGAGGGCAATAACTCCTAGCTAAGCTCTAACTCCAGTAATTACGTTCTCTCTCTCTCTAATTCCCCTTGTAATTTTAGCTGCAAAAGCAAATTAGGCCTAGATAAAGGAGAAGAAACTCCAGGAAAAAAAAAATGTTTTCTGAAATGTATTTTAGTTATTTAACTTAAAGGGATTAACCAATTTTTTTTAAAGATTTTATCTTTAGGTAATCTCTACAGACAACGCAGGGCTCGAACTCAGAGCCTCGAGATCAAGAGTCGCATACTCCACTTATGGCACCAGCCAGGTGCCGCTTAAAGGGATTAATTTATTCTCATTTCATTTGGCATCCCAAAAGATGGAATAGAATTTCTGGCACCCCATAAGTAAAATCTGGCAAAGAGAGCCCTTAAAACTTGGGGACTTCTAGCAAAAATCACTTCAATGATCAACTGTATGTTCATGTAATACCGTTATTTTGAAAGGCAACATCTAAGGAAAGAGTTGTATTTTTGTTGCCTTTATCCGTGTGTGTGTGTGTGTGTGTGTGTGTGTGTGTGTGTGTGTGTACCAGTAAATATAACAGATACTACTGTTACAAAGTCGTAAAGTCTGCATCTCCAGGGCTTGGATTTTTATGTTATTTTTACAAATAGATAGATGCATAGATGATGAGATAGATAGATGGATGGAGAGATGGCTGGCTGGCTGGCTAGATGATAGCTAGATAGGTAGTTAGATAATGTTTTAAAATCCACTTTTTCTTTTTTAAAACAGCAACTGTTGCTTAGATTAATTTTGTGCCGCAAGGCCTGCTTCCCAGAGGCATATGGTTTGGGGGTGGCCATAAAAAGCTGGATCTGGAGCCTTCCCTTAGAACAGAGCACTGTGTTTATGACTTAACCATTTCTTGTTAGCATCAAACAGTGTATCATCGACTCCAGAACTCAGCGATGTAATCGTGGTCTTTCACATTAGGAAACAATACCTAATTAAACTGCACTTGACGTTGTGCACACTCTACCAAACACCATATCCTCTGGTGTTTCATTAAAAATTCAGGTCCCCAATCATGCCATCAGGGACACACAGCGTGCAAGTGTGCCATCTCATTGCAGTCGAATGCCACACTGTCCCTGGCCCTGTGCTTCCGTTTCCAAGCTCCCCCACCCATCTGTTCACCCGTGTTAGAGAACACACAACTCTCTTGCATCCTAGCTGTTTGCCAGCACGTGTATGTATTGAATTTAGGTTTTATACCCCAGGCAGTGCCGACCACAGAACAGGTGCTCAGCAAATGCCTGCTGAATTGAAGAAGGAGTAAATCAATGATGAACACATCAAATGCTGGGCCTTGCTGTACAAGCTTGAACACAGATTTGAAGGAGATGGTTTTTTTTTAAGTAGCATAAGAGAATGGGGGTGGAATTTGCTTTAGTACCTTCCGAAGGTTTTTTCCCCCTTGCCATTATGACTCACTACTGCTAACTATGGAAATTTTAGGTAATAGTGACTCTAATATTCTTCCAGTTTTGTAGGCTTTCATTGTCAAGATGAATTCTAAGGGAAGCCTGAGCTCCTAAAAGAGCCAAAAAAAAAAAAAAAGACAAAAAAAAACCAAAAAACCCTCTGCATTACATAGAGATGGGGTAGGAACACTGTTTAGCAAAAGATTCTGATCAAGAGTCAGTTAATGTCATCTCTGATGAGCTCCCATGTGCTGGCTTCCTGGTGACCTGGATGTGCAGAAAAGCACAGCACTTCACCTGGGTAAAATGACTCCTGGGTACAAAACCACTGTGAGGTCTAGAGCTTTATCTCAGTTTTTCTGGAGGATGAAAATCCTTCTAGTGAACTTCATAAACCAACTGCACTCATCAAGGTGAATAAGATGTCCATGTATCTACTTTCCCAACTAGTTGGTTAGCTGCTTGTGGGCAGAGACTGTATCCCCAGGGCCTGCCACAATCCCTGGCACGAAGCAGGTGCTCAAAACTACTTTGTGAATATTGATCCTACACTACTCTCGGCGCAGTACAAGCTCACAGAACTGGGAGAAACCTAAGGAAGAATTTAATAGCTTGATCCTTTTCAAGATCACAACATTGAGAAACAGAGAAACAAAATAAATCGCTCAGAGTCACTTCAGACTGCATTGTGGGATGCTTTTCTTTTCTCTTCAAAAGTTTTCTCCTCTCAGTTCATAACTCACGGGGGAAAATCCAAGAGGGGCTTGAAATAATCCTTTTGTGCCTCATGAGCTTCTTCTAAGTAAATATGCCTTTTATAAGTTACAGAACATTAACCTGAAATACATATAAAATGGAATCTAGAGGCTTTTACTTGGTCAATTTATTTGGGGCGGGGATGGAGCCCATAGTTCTCAAACCCAACTCATAAGTTTAACACCTTCTCATTTTCCTCTGGTGTCTTAAGAGTTTCTTAAAGTCACAGTCAAGAGGTCGGGCTTTTCCTCCTTCATGTAAAACCAAACTGTACAATTAAAATTTCAGCACCTTAATTAAATCTGTGAGTGTCCACCAAATTAATTTGCAGCAGCAAAACAAGATGAAATTATGTAAAGCACAGGGATCAATTTATCATTCCATAACTTGCGATTAATTCAACAAGCTTTCACTTCCATGTCTAGGTGACAACCATTAAAGTCCAATTGTCTGACTGCATTATATGAGAAATGGGACTTTCTTTTACGCCCAGTCTTCTAAAACATATTCTAGAAACATATTCTCTTGGGGCGCCTGGGTGGCGCAGTCGGTTAAGCGTCGGACTTCAGCCAGGTCACGATCTCGCGGTCCGTGAGTTTGAGCCCCGCGTCGGGCTCTGGGCTGATGGCTCGGAGCCTGGAGCCTGTTTCTGATCCCGTGTCTCCCTCTCTCTCTGCCCCTCCCCCGTTCGTGCTCTGTCTCTCTCTGTCCCAAAAATAAATAAACGTTGAAAAAAAAAATTTTAAAGTTGCAATCCATTGTGGATGATACTTTAAAAAAAAAAAAAAAAAAATAAACATATTATAACCACAGATGAAAAACGGGCTCTGCTGCCAGCAAGGTTTGGGAGAAGAAGTGGGATGCCAGGGGGCTGAAGGGACATCAAAAGAGCCTGAGACCCTCAGTGCCACACGAGCTCCACGGGCTACCTCCCCAGTTGGCCTAGGCGCCTTAGAGGCAGTGTGAGTTTCTAATTTACTAACACCTCCCACTTAATCCAGGGCAAAGTTTCCCTCAGGCCTTGATCTTCTCTTATGTCTCTCCATCCCCAGGATCAGGCTACTTGAGGACAGAACCTCCTGATTAACGTGTCAAGAGCCATAGACTCTCCTTAATAGACAGTCCCTTTACTTGCCGGGGGCACAGGCTCAGCCTCGGCAGGAGCTGCCACAATGTGTTAAGTCACCACTAAGGCCGATGCTCCATAATGACTTTAAATGCTCTAAGAACAAAGTACTGTTGGATTCATTAGCTTCTCGGACCTCCTGCAATGTCCCCTCTGCTCCCTGGCCTAGTGGGGCCCTGTCCACCAAGCATCTGTGGCAGAAAAGCAAAAAGGCAGATTCCTCCAAATCCAAAATGGAACTTGAACCTCCAGATGATGGTTTTGTTTTATGACACACTTGACTGCCTACTCACGGGTGTGAATCTGTCACCTCAAATGGTTTTCCAAAGCAATTTGCTAAAGTGGATCTTTAAGAACACGTCAGGATGAATCATTAAAACATTTCAAGATGACAATACCCCTGGAAGGCAGAAGATACTGAAGCAAATAGAAGGCATCTTATCTGCCTTCAAACAAGTGGATAAATGTAAGCACTGAGGCCTCAGAAACTATGTCCCTATCAAGTCCCCACCAGGAGTCCCTGAGAATCTTCCTACCCCCTCACTGATCGAATCCTTTTTGAAAGGGGGTTGATCAATATCTTTTAGAGTGTCTCCAGATCCAATTGCACCTGAAATACAACCTGAGTGGTGCTGATGTATCTCAGAAACCTCAAGGCTTCCTCGTCCAGGGACTGAGCAGGTCCTGCCCACGGCTGGAGATCTATATGCCACCGGGGACGCTGTAGAAGACAGAAAACAGAAAACAGGTTGATGTGTAAAGTGTTGAGGCACTGGGGGTGGGGGTGGGGGTGGGATGGACACAGAGCATCAGCTAGGCTCCTTGGCTGCTTTAACTGTCTGCAAAACAAACATGTCTGTGCACAGGCGGTGGGGAGTGGGTTCAGAGCTACTGTCATTACAGTCACATCGGTCACAGGGAGGCAAGCAAGGCCTGAGAAAGCCCAGCTACCAGGTTAAGCAAAAGACTGCAAAGGCCTGGGGACGTCTGACTCTTCTGATCAAAAATAAACTCCACTTGACCCCATCAGGCTCTCTCAACTGTGGCTTTGTATTACTGTGCCTCTCCCCCATGCGAAGAAAAACTCCTCTTATCTACTAGAGTTTCCAAAGCTTAGAGCTTCAGAACTATGAGCCTCCCTAAGGGCCAGTTATGTCGTCGAGGCAAAAGCCTGAAGTCCTTTGGGTGCTTGGGTGCCTTCCCCAGCACAGGGAGACAAGGGCAGCCGCACTCAGTCTTCCAGGTCTCAGTGTGCCTAGCATCTGGGGCTGTGCACCTGCGGGAGAGGACCCCGGAGCTGTCACCACCAAGGCTGACAAGAGTAGCCTTCTAGCAAGGGGCTGCTGCCTTTCTGCAGAGGACGTGAGGAGCACCGATGAGCACAGTGGTTAGAAATGAAGGCTAGGCCTCCTTTTGCAGCAAGGGTGGTGGGAGGGATGAAGGGCTGGGGGATCGCAGTGGTCTGGAAGAAACGCAAGTAGGATCCCTCTAGTCAAAAGGAAGCACTAGTCATGAAGTCCTTTCTAGAGTTCCAAGTCCCCCACCTGTACTTATCACCACTTAGAAACCTTCCAAAGCCTTGCTGTGATTCTCAGGGGGAGAATAGCCCTCAGGGTGCAGGGTGGGGAAGGGGGTTGGGGGGGGAGAGAAGCCCCATCTGCTGGGAGGGTAGATGTCTGGAGTCAGGAAAGACGCTGGGTGTCTAGGCACAGGGGTTCCCGCAGTGCTTAGACTGGGCCTTTAAACCCCCTTTTATGACGCGGAAGGAGGCAAGGGAAGGTTCTAGGGACAGATAAATGCACCATTCACGCATACACATTGTTCTTCACTCAGATATTGCCAGGATCTGAATGTGTGTGTTCCCCTCCCTCATATTCATAGGTCGAAATCCTAATGACCAAGGTGATGGTATTAGGAGGTGGGGCCTTTGGGAACAGCTTAGGTCATGAGGGTAGGGCCCTCCTGAATGCAATCAGTACTCTTCTAAAAAAGACCTCACAGAATTCCCTAGCCCCTTCCACAATGTGAAGACCTGGAGAGAAGGCGCCAACCCTGAAGAGGGCCTTTACTGGAAACCAACTCTGCTGGCACCCTGACCCTGGACTTCCAGCCTCCAGAACTGTGAGCAATAAACTTCTGTTCTTTATAAGCCACTCAGTCTGTGCCATTTTGCTATGACAGCCCAAACAGACTAAGACTAGGTATTATGACAGGAACTGTCTGTCACCCCCCCCCAAAAAAAAACCCTAAACAGGCTAGCCCTGATACACTTTAGTGCAAATGTGGGGGGTTTGCCCCTGGATGGGGTGGCCTCGGTGACCTGGGGTTGAAAAGCTAGGAGGAGCGGGGGAGCAAGCAGGTCAGTCAGCATCAAGCCAGGTGTGTGAGCTTGGGGAAGAGAAGCCCACCCTGGCATGGGGGTCTGAGATAAATGTGGACACTTCGTAAGTGATAAGCGTTATTCCAGGTCCGATGTGATTAGCCTCACATCGTGGCACAAAGCCCAAGAGCCCACAGTCTTACCGTCTAGACAGGTCCGTGCCTCCTTGTAGTAGCTAAGTGCCCTGCAGCTTTCTAGACTTAAGGAATCCTCACTGATTTCCCACAGGCTATCTTGTTCTCAGCTGCCAGTTTCATGGGCATGCAACCTATGCAGTCTTAGAAGGGCCTGCGCTTGGGGGCGCCTGGCTGGCTCAATCGGTGAAGCGTGTGACTCTTAATCTTGCGGTTGTGGGTTCAAGCCCCATGCTGGGTGTAGAGATTACTTAAAGATAAAATCTTAATTTTTTTTTTTTTTTTAAGAAGGGCCTATGCTTGGCTCAATGCTCTGCTGACACTGTCTTGAAATTCTTTAATAAATGTTGAACAAGAGGGCTCACATGTTCATTTTGCACCAAGCCCCACAAATTATGTAGCGAGTCTGCCCTGAGGGGCACCCTTTTCTGGGAACGCAGCCTTTTCTTATAGCTATTCTTGCTCTGTGAAGGCTGATCAGGCAGAGAGTCTAATCAGAGAAAGCCTGAGAACATTAACATATCTTCCCAGGTAATGCCTTCCGCCACCCCCCTACTTTCCTTTCTTCTCTGAAGTAGATGGTGATTACCACGTGGCCAAACAATATTCATTGAGCATCAGCCACCCTGTGCCAGACACTGGTCAGCACAGACACGACTAAAACCTTGACTCTCCCGGGGCGCCTGGGTGGCTCAATCGGTTGAGCGTCCGACTTCGGCTCAGGTCATGATCTCGCGGTCCATGAGTTCCAGCCCCGCGTCGGGCTCTGTGCTGACAGCTCAGAGCCTGGAGCCTGTTTCCGATTCTGTGTCTCCCTCTCTCTCTGACCCTCCCCCGTTCGTGCTCTGTCTCTCTCTGTCTCAAAGATAAATAAACGTTAAAAAAAAAAAAATTAAAAAAAAAACACCTTGACTCTCCCAAGAAGTGCACAGTCTGGCGGCAGAGACAGACACACACAAAATAACTTTGGCAGGTAAATGCTGAAAATTAGGGAGAGCAATTCTTTTCAGGAAGTACTGAATTATGAAATCATAAATTATAAGCACAGTTAAATACAAACGCCTCCCAGTTGTGCCTGGTCATGTCCTTGCATCAAATGACAAAGTGCCTTTCCAGGTCGCCCCTGCTGTCTGCACAGCAACACAGAGCTTCAGGCAGGCTTGTCCAGGTTTAAAACTCCCCATGTCTTTCTCACACGGCCACTCACAAGTGTGCCAGCATCTGGCCCAGGAGCCTCTTGATAGAAATGATAAAGTTCACCCATCATGGTCTTCCTCTAAATCAGGGATCAGGAAACTCTTTCTATAAGGGGCCAAACAGCAAACATTTTAGGCTTTGCAGGCCATGTGTTTTCCACTGCAATTCCCCGCCCCCTGCTGTAGCTCAAAACAGCCACAGACAGTGAGTAAACCAATGGTCGTGGCTGTGTTCCAACGAAACTCCATTTACAAAAATAGGTTGCAGGCTAGATTTGGCCCACGAGGCTGTGGTTTGCTGACCCCTGCTATATTTGATTCAAATTTGGAGGCAGACTGGCCTAGAAGAGACTGTTTACTTGAAATAATGCAAGATTATGATATCTAGATTATAGCTAACTTTGTCATCTGGGTGACTTGGGCAAATATCAGCCAGGATTCCAGCAGGATACAACAGGCTCCTTCCAACTGGCTAATCCAAGAAGAATTCAATAGACTATCTATAAAGGCATGGGCAGGGTTTAAGGAAACCAGTAACGAATAATGCAGTATCTATGACAGGTAGCACCAGAGAGACTTTACAAATCCTAAGCCTGAAGGAGCAAGGAGCAAGAGGAATTTATGGAACCCAGAGAGGGAAACTTTATGGAGCAGGCATTTAATAAAGGAACAAAGCCAATCCAGGGTGCCTGGGTGGCTCAGTCAGTTAAGGGTCTGATTCAGCTCAGGTCATGATCTTGTGGTCTGCGGGTTCGAGCCCCGCATCGGGCTCTGTGCTGACAGCTCGGAGCCTGGAGCCTGCTTCGGATTCTGTGTCTCCCTCTCTCTCTGCCCCTCCCTTGCTCACGCTCTGTCTCTCTCTCAAAAATAAATAAACATTAAAAATTTTTTTTTTCAAAAAGGAACATAGCCAATCCTGTCACATCCAGTCCTATTATATATGCACACCAACTGTCAAAGCCAAGAGAAGGCAGAGAAGAGGGAGGCTATGGTTGTCCATGCAAAGTCAGCCTCTGGGGGTGCAGAGGAGGAGGAGAAGTGTGGATGGTGGATCTGGAGAGACAAATAGAAGGTCTCCTGCACAGCATTCTTTGGAAAGAAGCAATGAGACTCGACCAGGGAGTCATCCATTGATTCAGTGGGCATTTGTGCCTTGTGCCAGGCTCTGGGTTACAATTTAATACAGCTATAACCCAATACACGCAATGAAGTTCTATAGGGGCTCTGATGGAAATTTCCATAGGGTAAGTGGGGTCACGAAGAGATCGAGGACGTAAACATAGCTCCAAACTAAATGCCAAAAACACAAGTGCAGATTGCGGAAATCTGTCTCTACTGCAAGAAACCCAAAGGCTTCATGAAAGAGACACCTTGAAACACAGCAGAAGCCACTCACCCTTCACTAACACATAAAAATAACTTCACAGATCAATAATGGTGAATCCATATAGCAGGACTATAGAATTATCTTCAGAATCCACAGACAAGATCCTGACTGCAAGCTCATATTTCTCATTTCCAACTGATTGTCGACCCCGATGAAGCTAAACATGGCAGCTGGAACAGCGACTATCCATTGAGGAATCTCAAGTGGAGACATGATAGGAATATACAGCAAAGAGATGCCCCAGAAATGCTCTGGCTTAATGCTTTGCTCGAGCTGTTTAAAAAACACTTCACATAAAGTAATGTTCCTCCTGGAATCAGTCTGACAGCAGTTCGTGATTATTACCCCAAGGAAATGACTAGCTTTTATCATCTCTTTCAATTATCATTTGTCTTAATTCTCTGGTACATACATCAATATTTGTCCCTCCAAACATCCCACACGCAGGACTCTCTGAGCACCTTAGAACACCAATGGCCGGTATTAAATAGAACAAGGCAAACACACCCACCCACCAAATCTTTTTGTTTTAAGAAAATTTGTCATGATTTTACCCCCAAACCATTCCCTAAATGCCAGGATACACTATTACCCATATGCTGCAAATATCATGTGGCCAGACGA